TTTACTTTTGGTTCTTCTCATTTTAAAAAATGTGTATCCAATATATAACTTTGTCTTTAAACTTGATTTATGTACATTTTTGCCAGAGAAGTTTTTTTTTTTTTTAAATTTTAATGTAGTTGCCTATCTATTCTCTTCTCACCTTCTCAAAGATAATTAACTCCGTGGACAATGACCTGGCCCTTTCAGCATCAACCTTACCCTCTATAGAATCGTTGCAACAGATGAGAAATGAACTCTAGTCTGTCCCCACATTAAAAACAAAATAAACTCTCCTTGACCCTTCATCTTTTTCTAACTACTGTCCTCTTTTGAGAAATTTTGCTATGAAGTAAAGTAAAAAGGTTATTTACTTCCTCTCCTCCTGTATATACTCATTTCAGTATTAAATCATCTGAAGTTGTTGGGATCATTCTTTGTTTTTATTGTCTGTTTCTTCTATTTAAACATCAGCTCTATGATGACAGGGACCAAGTCTGTTTTATCTCAACTTCTGGCACATTGAAGCTTCTCAATAGAGTAATGAAAGAGTGAATAAATGCTTAATTTTAAAAATTAGGTCATACTTGTAATTAGCCTACTCAGAAAATTTTCCTGAGATTAACTACTTCTCAGACTGGCAGGACAGGGTAAGAAGATCTTCTGTATCTCAGTAATTCCTGAAAAGAACAAGAAAACCAGATATTTGGGAATATAATTTGGAGCAGAGTTTGCAAACTCAAATGTCTCTGGCAAGTAACAAGAAATAGAGGTTATCATGTGCAAGCCACAGTGAGTGGTCAGTATCATCACAATCCAGAGACCCCAGCTCTGGTCCATGCAGAGTTAGCAGCTCCAGCCAACTGTGGCCAAGTGGCATTGACAGTACAAGAGGGAAAGATCTTCCCAAGTTTTCAAAAGAAGGGCTGGGGTTGTGGCTCGGTGGTACAGCACTTGTTTAGCATGTGTGAGGACCTGGGTTCGATTCTCGGCACCACCACATATAAATAAATAAAATCAAGGTCCATCAACAACAAAAATATTTAAAAAGAATAAAATCAAGGCATTTGCAGGTAAATGGCTGGAGTTAGAGAAGATAACACTAAATGAAGTTAGCCAATCCTCAAAAAACAAATGTCAGATGTTTCCTCTGTTATAAGGAGGTTGATTCATAGTGGGGTAGGAAGGGGGGAGCATGTGAGGAATAGACGAACTGTAGATAGGGCAGAGGGGTGGGAGGGTAAGGGAAGGGGGCAGGGGGTTAACGAGAATGGTGGAATGTGATAGACATTATTATCCAAAGTACCTGTATGAAGAGACAAATTGGTCAACATAGTTTATATACAACCAGATATGAAAAATTGTGCTGTATATGTGTAATAAGAATTRTAATGCATTCTGCTGTCATTGATCTCTTTTTTTATTTTATTTTTAAAAAGTTTGTGTACCAACTAGAATTGGGTTTGGCTGTGAATAGTGACTTGAAGCAGCAGCTTAGGTGAAGTAAAAATGTCTTTTTCTAACACACACACAGGCTTAAGGGTATCCAGGGCTCATGGGACTTGTTGCTTGGTGTGGCATGGCTTTCATTCTTTAAATCATTTGCAGGCCTAATGGGCAGATGTGACTCCAGCCATTACTGCCTCATTCTAGGCAGCAGGAAGCAAAAGAGAAAGGAAAGCCCTGGTATTCTTTTATAAGATTTCCTGAGAGCTTCCATTCCTCACTTTCATCATTTCATTTGGAAACTGGCAAATATAATCTTCTTCAAAGTGAACTAGCTGTGCCTATCTAAGGAAGAAGGGGAGAATGCGGATCAGAATTCTAAATCGGGAGTCTCTGCCAGAGCTGGCTATTTATGTGAAATTCTTAAGTTTTTACTGAGAAGCAGAACTTGTCAAATATAGCATGTCCATCATCTGGTCTCAGCAGAGGAGTTGCCAGCAGTGGGAGCTGGGAACCCTGCTTAGAGGAACAAATKCGAATGGTGTGCATTTCTGTGACATGTGGTACAACCAGCAAGTGTGGACTGATGAGGGTCAAACAGATGAAGGTTAGCAAGGTTTAGATGGGGAATGCAAACAGGAATGTGTGTGGTCAGCTTGGAGGGTGGGGAGCACTGTAAAGATGGGCAGTGTGGAAAGGGTGAGGAGGTACAGCATCCCCCACCCCTCAGGGGATTGGCAGCAGCCTGGGAGGACCCTGCTTCCCTCCCCTTAAGTCTAGGCAATTGTTCTAAGGGGTACAATTTCCACCTCCTTTGAATTCTAAAGTCACTTTGCCAAAGGTACCTTCTTATACCAGGTCAGGGTCACCCTTTCTGGAGGGATGACCAGAGCCAAACTCTCCAGTCAAGAGCTCACCAGTCCTCTCCAATAGCCTAAGTCACCCTGTTATACCTGGGCTTGGCCCAGTCTCGGGCTCAGTGAGAATTCCCTCTAAGTGCCGAGTCTCCCAGCCAGGCTGACCTTGTTTCTCTGAGAGGCATCAGGTTATGGTGGAAAGCACTGATTTTTTTGCAGGTACACTTCCTTCTCTTTTGGCTTAGCATGATTGTCTACTGGCTGGGCAGACTCTAAATACTTTCTTAGGTAAGAATGCTCCTAGGGGTTGAACTCTGGGGCATTCTATCACTGAACTACATCCCCATCCCTTTTTACATTTTTATTGAGTCAGGGTCTCTAAATTGCTGAGGCAGGCCTTGAACTCAGGGTCCTCCCGCCTCAGACTCCTGAGTTGCCAGGATTACAGGAGTGTACTAACTCTGCCTGTAAAAAGGCCTTTGTTGAAACTTAAATTTAGTGAAGAGTTATTAAAAAAAATTTAAGGCTCCAGTAAAAATTCTTTATAACCATCTATATATTTGAAATTAAGAACTTTATTGGCACAAACTCTGCAATGGAAAGTATTAACCCAGTAGGATGGATAGTAAGAATCGGCTCCTGTCTTAAACACACATGAAAAAAGATGAATTTTCAGTGCCATGGTTTAGCTTCTGGCCACCACTCCAGTGGAATCCAGATTGTTCTGCGGAGGGCCAGATCACATGCTCTCTATGCCCTTCTCCCCCAGAAGTGAGAAAGCGTTTCTATACACAGACACCTATACACACAGAAGACCCAGTGAACTCAGAGGAATAAGGTTATAAAGAGAAGCTGGGCTTAGCCATAGCCCATAGTACAGTGACTGGACAGCACACATACCCTGAAGGGACAAGCGCTTGAATTTATTCCCATTGCCAACCTCACAGTTGGGGGTGCCTGTTGAGTGATGCCATTGCACACATAGAAGTCACACATTTTACTTGTTTGTAAAAATTTCAGAACATAAAGTTCCCAAAAAGCCCTTTAACAAGGAATCAAAATGACAAAGGTTTAGAAAGTGATTTTTGTATATGGTAAAGGCTTATACAGTGATCGGGTAGTTTGACATAAATCTACCCTTGGCATAAAAGCGAGATTCCACTGCAGAGCCACTCACAGCATAGAATATACCTTGGGTCTAAGTCAGTCTCCTAATTAAGTTTGCTATTGGATTCAGCATGTGCAGTTGTAATTGGCTGAACAGCAAATCCCTCAACATCTGCATACTAGCTGGCACAGGTTTGGCATTTAATGTTCAATTACTAAATGTGTCTTCTATAAATGAAATGAACAAATAAAGCTACTTATGTTTGAGGACTAATAGCAGATGAGTGGTTGAGTATCTGAATTTTAGCCTGCTTATGTTAGTTTTCTGGACTGTTACATAAACACACCATCAGGCTGCCTATTTCTGCTAAATGTGGTTTATTGGTATAGTTTGGTACAACTTTAACCCTACCTTTTCCAATCTTAGTCATGTCAATAATCCTTTAAAAATCATGCTACATTATTTCAAAGGAAAATGTCAAGCTGAACATATTTTTAAAAAGTGCTAGAAAATTATTCCTATCAAAACCTCATTTCACTGTGTTAGTTTCCTATTCTAACACAGTGCTTATCCGTCTAATGTCAATGTGAATACACATCAACCAGGTACTGGTTTTCTAAAGTAATTACTTTGCAGATACCAAGATGATCGAGTCCTGGGGCTGTGCACAGAGAGGCCAAAGGGAAGCCATGTGTGCCGCCGCATGTTCCTGGGTGACCTCCCTCCTGTGAGCAGTGTCCAGTCTTTGATTAAAATTGCAAATGACCCAAATGGAGAGGGGAGAAAAAAAATCTTCGAGAAGGAAAGGGAACCAGAAAGCTAAGAAAAAAATGCAATGTTGGGCTGAGTCCTTGTGGGGGAGGTGTCCCAAGTTGGATGCATAGGTCACAAGGATCATGTCATTTACAGTTCAGAGGCCAACATATGGACACCAGCTTAGGACCTTTCAGGCCAATGAAAACACGTCTGACCATGTCAGAGACCTTCCAAAGATACTCCAGTGGAGTTAGCTCAGATTAGATCCAGTTTCATAGACACTAAGGAAACAAGAATAACAGAGTTTTCCTGTTTCTCAGGTTCTGATATATTTGGGTTGGGAGCTGGGTGAAAGCCAGCTTTTAAGTGAAAACAGTATGTTTTATTATGACACTATTTAAAAAAAAAATTGCCTGAAACTGTTCACTGCCAAAGCCAAGAGAGCTTGGCACTGGTGTGTAAATCTCTCACCCAGGAAATCCATTCCTCCTACTGAACTGTTGGATAAACCAGCCTGTGGCTTTGTCTTTCCACTTCTGCACCAGAGCCTATTACAGGGAGTGCAAAGAGCCAAACCTAACCATACATTTGGCAACTTATTAAAAGATTCAAGGGCTGTTCAATACAATCACTTTATGTGACAAACAGGAGGCTGAGAAAGTCCCAACAGCTCAGGTAGTTTTTTKTTGTTGTTGTTGTTGTTTGTTGTTTTTTGCGGCCGGGTAAAACCATCTCTTTTAGCAGTGTCCACATACAGCAAATGGGGCTCCCTTCTTCAAGGTTGCTTGATGAGATCCAGTACCATGAAGGGCACTTCAGAAGTCCCTCGGCTCTTCTACTCAGAGGACATTCTGCTAATTGACACAGTTCTTTGTGATTCTTTTACTTCTGTCCATCTGTCGGATGCTGTCTGTAACGTTAATGGTGACTTCTTTTGCAGACATCCTCTTGGTATCTCTTTTAGCCTGTTTAAAAAAAAAAAAAAAAGTTTGAAACAGTGAATTGACTTACTGAGAGATCAAAAAATCCTCACATTAATTTCTGATAATTGTTACATACAGGTCAGAAGAATGACCTACAGGAACACATGTAAGTTCCTACTCAGTGGTATTTTAAGTTAAATTTATTTAGTACATGAAAAATAACAATTGTACATATTAAATGGGGTATCATGTTTCTATATATGCATACACTTATTTTCAGAGGTTTCTCTGAATTTCCAATGCCAGGTTCTCACCCAGTGAGAACCTGGCAACAGACATATTAATTATTGAGCAAATGAATTTGCTAACGTCCATCAAAAGATAAAAGTTCTCAGTTGGCTTTAATAGGGTGCTTAAGTTTTTGAGCTCTGGAGTCAGACTTTGGTTCAAATACAGTCTRTATCACTCACAATGGGCAATTATTTTTTAAAACGTTGCTAATCTTATATTTCCTCACCTGTAAAATGGGGAATAATATTATCTACCTCACAAGGTTGTTATGGTACATTCATTATTTTATTTAATCCTTATATTACCATACTGCCTGTTTCTAAATAAAAATGATGGGGGAAAAACTCTTGCAGAGTAGAATTATTTCATGTCTAAGACAGATCAGTGATAAAGCCTAGGATTAACTTTAAGTATTAAAGCATTAAGTAAATTATAAGCTCTTCAATATGTGCCCACCCACCACTTCTCCCAAGGTGAAAATGACTAACTAGAAGTGGGGGTTATTTCATGCCCAATCCACTCAACTGTAAGCATGGAGTGACTTGAGATGAGCCTTTCAAGACGTCTCCCCAGGGATGCATGAGGTTATGTGCTGCCCATCCCCCCTCTAGGGAGGACCTGCTGCCCAGCTCCAGGGAATACTGTCAGCAGACAGCTTATAGTTGTCCCTTCAGGAGTGACTTCAGCTTCAGAGAGCCACCTCACTCAAGGTTGAACTTCTGTAGGTGGTCCAGTGTGGTGATGAAGGGAAGGAAATAAAGACTTGACCCTTTTGGCCTAAGGTAGGCCAGGTCTGGTGTGCCATTCAGCTGCAGAGCTCCCATGGGAGCTGACAGAGGCTGCTGTCTGTCTGTACGGTGGCTCATCTTCCCCTTCCACAGGTGGTGACCCTAGGGGCACTTCCTAYTGAACATCCTGTGTAATGATACATCACAGTCTGCTTCCTGGAAAACAGTCTCAGATCCTGTGGAGCAGCTCTTATAGAGCAAGGATCTGTCCATGCTGGGTGTGAGTCTGGAGTTGCTAGATGTCTGTTTTTCATTCAGCATGGCCCCTAAGCACAAGCCAACCATGTCATCCATAGGGCATCCAAAGAAATGGTGGACTGTTCCACCACTGGACAAAAAATAAGCAGCTCTGAGTTTATTAATAAATTATAGGTAGGTTTCTATCATGTCAAATAAAACCTGTATATTTGTAGTGGCCGCTGGTGATGCCCCCTCCACGTTCCATTTATTCAGCTGATGCCTCTGGCTCCCAGCTACTAAGCCTTGGCTCTTAACTACTCACAGTAGCACTTTTCCAGAAACTGTCATATGATTGGCATTTCTGAGATAGGTGGCTCCAAAGAGGTTACACACAAATTCCCAGCCCTATCCAGTGTCTGATTATTGGGGATAAAAAAAAAAAATCTGGTTTTTTTTTTGGGGGGGGGCGGAGACTGTGAAGAATGAAGTTTGGCCAGGCATGGTGGTACATGCCTATAATCAATCCCAGCAGCTCAGGAGGCTGAGGCAAGAGGATAATGAGTTCAAAGCCAGCCTCAGTAAAAGGTGCTAAGCAACTCAATGAGACCTTGTCTCTAAATAAAATACAACATGGGGCTGGAGATGTGGTTCAGAGGTTAAGTGCCCCTAAATTCAATCCCAGGTACCCACTCCACCCCCCCTGCAAAGTGCTACCTCTTCTGCTTCATAGAGCTACAAATCTGTAGCCACTCATGTTCCAGAGCTGCTTATAGTAGAAAGATAAGTCCAAACTACAACTGTTCAGCTCAGCTCTCATGCTTGCTGAACTTGATCCTCTGTCCTGACCTTCTGCCCCCACTAACATGCAAGTTTCAATCAATCCCTTGCATCTTAGGCCAGGTTTCCAAGAAGCAGAGCCTAAGATAATAATTTGAGTGATCTGAGGGGCATTCAAGGAAAATTTCAACTATCGCTTTAGACTTATTCATTAATTTTAAGAATAGGATTTCACTATTTTCCTCTTAATATTCCTGGTACCTCTCATCAATCCTGAGACATAGGAGGCCCTCAATTTAACTTTGAGTAGATGGATRGATGGATGGATGGATGAATGAACAAACAAATAAGCACCCTGCCCTTGTCCATGTTCTTTTGCTTTAAAAACCATTAGTACTGTCTAGATTTCTGTCTTACACTGAGGTCTTTGAAGCTGGAACTTGCATCAGGACTAGCATTTACCTCCTACCTGTTAATCACACAGGTGCTGTGCAGGAAAAGAAGGCACCAATGCTGTGTCCTAAAGAAAGATGTGGTGATGGTGAGGCCAGTTCCATTGGACTTCCATTTGGGGCATTATTACTTGAATGCTTTGAAAACAGGAGCAGGGAATAGACAGAGGCCATGATTGAAATGAGCTAAATTTCTGGCAGAGTCCCCCTAAGTTGGTGGGGGATAAGAGTTTTCCAGAATAGAAATACAAACTTTACAAACTACAAAAGTACTTTTCTTTAGAACAGTATTGGCAAGATTTTACAAATGATTATTTAAGATTATACACAGAAAATGTTCTGTTGTATTTTGGTCAATTTTTAAGTTTAAAAAAATCTGAGCAAAAATTCAGTAGTTGGATGATTCTGCATTTTTAAGCCTGTGTAAAGAGTCAAAGGGTACAAAATCCTTAGAGCAGTCACTGAATCACAACTATAGTGGGACAGTTTCTTAAATCTGTGGATCATAAGTCTGTACCATGGAATGTTCAGGGCATAAGCCTTGGAGTCAGACCTGGACCTAGTGCAAAACTTGCTTTAACCTAAGTCTTATTCTCTTACCTGAAAAACAGGGAAATAATGCCTGCTTCTTAGATATTTGGAGAGAATTAAGTGTGTCACTTAGCATTGAAAAAGTGATCAATTCTGGTTTGCCTAGGACTGTCCCATTTTAAAATAAAAGTCCCACATTGCAGAATCTTCTCCAGGCCCTAACAAATTGGGACACTTAGCCACCCCTGTTATAGCTATTGTCATTAATTTCATTTGAAAAGTTGTGTCAGGAAACATACCAAATTGATGTCATCATTTTAATATAAGGTTTTTGATAACTACTACTTCTAAATGGCAACGACAATAATAATTCTAAAAGATACCCTTTTGGATAAAGGAAAACTAGAGTTCTGTAGTTCAGTTATAAGCCCAGAAGGTTCAAGCCACAAAGAAATCCACTTGCAAATAATTACTRTATTAAGTTTAACAAAGTAAACAAAACAACAATGTGTTTTCTTGGAAACATTTTTTAAAAGAAAAGCTTTAGAATCTGAAAGCTTTGGAGTCAATTGAAAGGTACCCACTCCATTTACAGCTGTGAGATATCAAGGTGGTTGGTAGTCACTATAACCTAGTTACAACTTGGAAAGTTTACAATCCAAGCCCAGAGAAGAGCAAGAAAGACTACAATTCTAGGTACCTGCTCTAAGGAGGCAGGGATGTAGTTCAGTGATAGAGCACTTGCACAGCATGCATGAGGCCCAGGGTTCAATACCCAGGGCAACAACAACAAAAAAAGGTGGGGATCTTCTTGCCTTCCAATGAAAAAATAGAGCTACATAGGTACAAGGAAAAATTATGACATTTTGTCCCTCAGGTTACTTTATATAACAGATTTGTTCCCCCTTTTACATGGTATTTAACAAATACCACATAAATGTATTTATTCCCACACCCCCCTTTTAATGATAGGAAAAGAAAATATGTCCCTATTGTAATCAGTGGCTTTTAAAAATCCTATGGTTCTCAATTTGATGAGAAAATCCTATTTGGCACCTTTTTTCTTTTACAGCTATCTGCTAATTCAATCCTTTCTACACTTCTAATATTCTTGTTTTGTGAGCTCTGTCACCATTGACACCTCTTATTTCTCACCTAGTCTGATAGCTGTTCTATTCTCTTGCCTCATTTTAATTTCTGCAAGCTTAATATCCTGTGAATCATGAATTTTAGTCTTTCTGGTACTGCCTCTTTAATTAAAAGTCATTTATTGGCTGCCATTTCTCAAGGGTAACCAGATTGACTGTGATCACTTCTTGGCAGTCTCCAACCCAGATGGACCAGTTTCTCTTGGGGTTCAGAAGTCAGGGAGTGATCCAGCTCATTCCCCATGAAGGTAGAGACAGCCTGGCTGCTCTATGGAGAACCGGACTCAGGACAGTTATTAAATTTGCTCAGTCTTTTCTTAGTTTCCCTCCAAATGGAAGTAGATATTTTCTCAGCTTTGTTTGGATTCCATAAATGTCTGCGCCTAATATGGAATAGTACAAACCTTTTCACAGATCTTTGCAGATAACTAAAGCAGGACTTACTGAGATTTGATTTATCAGACACTGTTTTTTTCTACATTACTAATATATAAATTTTTTATTGGTACTAGAATTTAAACTCAAGGGTACTCTACAAATGAGCTATATCCCCAGCTCTTTTTTATTTTGAGACAGAATTTCACTAAATTGCCTAAGCTGGCYTCAAACTTACAATCTCCTGCCTCAGCCTCCCAAGTAGCTGGGATGACAGGCATTGTCCAATACACCTGGCTATATTACTGTTTTTAAAATATAAGAACAATACATAATTATGGTWAAAAAAAATTAAAGAGTAGAGAAGGACACAGTGAAAAATAACTCTTGATTCCAGGCTCTGGCYCCTCGAGCTGTCTCCCACAGATAATCCTGGCTACTAACTTTCTGTGGAGTGTTGCAGGGATTTTCTAAACATATACCATCAGAGTGCTATTATT